ATTTTTATTATATTTATTTGTATTTCTAATAGTATAATTATCTAATATACTGATTCTAATTTATGAAGAAAGATATAATCTCTCATCGACAGTGTATAGGTAGGTAATGTATATATACACACAATATACTTACCACTATTGTTATTGAATACGCGTATTTATTCTCTTCCATGGAATATTTTCATTTTAAAATCCTTCATAACAGTATTCATGCGACTTTAAGTGAGAGCGAAGGATTCAGGTAAAATTGCAACATGCAACTCATTGAATTAAATCTCGATAATCAAACTAGTTCAACTGTAAGGATTTATCATACGGACTATTTCATTCAGGAATTAAATCACCATTGCCGATTTATGGATACAACATTTGCAACGCTGCAAATTTCGCGTATCCAGAAATGAATACATAAATGTACAATAAAGCAGACATTTCAATCAAATTCAGTCGAATGTTTATTTTATTTGCATATAGCATCGACTGTGTTACATAATACAATAAATATATTTCAATTCATTTCTTCCTATTTTCATCCTTTTGATTCTTTTATTATTCATGTTGTAAAATGTATTGAAAAAAATGATTATTATATTAAGCTCTAATGATAAAGTGACAAGTAACACGGCCCATTTTGTTGAATTTAAAACGTTAAAAAGAATTGATGATATTGGTCGTGTGAGCTGCCTTAAGATTGCGACAGAAGGAGCCAACCGGAGGATCAATCGGATTTTGCTTCGGCTATACACAACGATAGCGGTGGGATGGTTGAATCCCTACTGGCCACGTAATAGGTATCAAGAATCATGGTTAAGCGTCGATCTTTCTCTTACAAAGTGACTTGGCGTCTCATTTCTGCACTTTCTTCCTTTCTTCCTGTTGACATGCAAGATTTACTTTTTATTTTATTTCTGGAAATAAAACTATACTTTCCCTGTAGGAGTAAAATTACTGTAAAAATATAATTATTAATGAACGATGGATACTATTTTCCTTGCGTCGAAAATTACCGTAATTACCATTAAATATTGTATTAACAAAACAAAGGGTTAATAGTCTTTCTTAAGATCCTCTTCTAAGATCCTCATGGATTTACATTACTTAACTTTACATACCTTACTCAAAATAGTATAAAAAGTATAATTCCATCAATGTATAATATTATACAAAAATTCCAAGACAAAAGACGTCTTAACTCTAATTATAACATTTCTTTCTTAATTACATTGGTGAAAGCTGCCCCATGAATTACTTATCAGAAGCAAGACGAAACCACAAACAAACAGTTATTCAGCGAAACGAATAATACCAAGCTTGACAAACTTCCACTTAAAGTCCTCGACGCAAGTCTAATCCAATATCACGACCCAAAGAACTCAACAAACCCCCACAACTCCTACCACTTGCAGCAAAAAACCTTAACACCCCTCTCTATCCCGCATAGTCAAACGGAATCACCTATCCACCATTTCCTTTCGTCGTCAGTCTCCATTCCCCAGGCGTATCCCGCGAATTTATCTTCGAATTTTCTTTACCCGCTTT